ACGTTTTTAAAAAGTACTGGGCATTTGATTAGATAAATTTTTATTTTTATGTTATGATTTTACTGCTTTTTTTTATTTTTATTTTTATGCAACCACTTTGATTGAATGACGACCTGAGTTTTACCAAGGAATATTTGATGATATAATTACCAAATGTAAAATAATTTTGGAATGTGCTAAACTGGAACTACTGGATGATGAGAACTTCAACTGCAATTGATAGGACTGTCATGATGACAATGATGTTGGCGATAATCAAGGATGATTTAATTTTGATCAGGTGTGTCATGTTTATTTTTATTTTAAATTTTATTATTAATTTTTTGTTTTATTAATTTTTTCTTTATGTACCGACAAATTAATATAATAACATTGTTAACATTATTAACCATTGACATGTTACGTTGACGTTTGACTTTACACTTCTATTGTATATTTTTGACAATGTTTATTTATTTTAAGTTTATTTTCTGATTAGTCTTTCTTTTATTTTTTATGTATTTTAAATGTATTTGATGGGAGCTATGATATACCTATGTGATGACGTATAAATGTGGAGATGCACAGAGAAGGGGCGCACGGTGCGCCGCGCACCCAGCAGATAAGGACCAGTAGTGAGCAGGGGCGCACTCAGCCCAAAGGATCAGCAGTGAGCAGGGGCGCACTCAGCCCAAAGGATCAGCAGTGAGCAGGGGCGCACTCAGCCCAAAGGACCAGTAGTGAGCAGGGGCGTACTCAGCCCAATATGATATGGAGGACAGGGTCGTATTTAGGTTTAGTTACCAAGGTTTAGGGATGTTAAAAGCTTGACAAGCCTCCTTATGTCATTTGACAACCTTTCAAAGGGGCGTCTGTAATGGTACGATATACGGGGCAGTTAATTTTTAACTTTTCTTAATTTATTATTTTTAAGCTTTACGAAATATGAGACTAATTTTAAATATTTGTTTTTAAAATTGTATTAGGTGTTAGGTATAAGTTTCACTTCCATACATTCTTTATTTGTTTATTATACAATATTAATTTATGACTCCCATCTGGACGACCACTTAAGGGTTCGTTACAGAAAGACGAAATAAGCAAGTTTTGGTTCATGTTGCTGGTCTTTAAAAAATAAACATAAAAAGAGCGTGTTAAAAACCTAGAGAGGACAGAATTTTTTTAGTTAGTTGAGTTTTGTTATTTGAAGTAGACAGTTGGTTTTTGTTATTTGAAGGGAGAGTTACGTTTTACTATTGAATTCTTTAACTTTATCAGGGAGTGAATTTAACAAATATTACATTGTTTTTTTATATAAATTCAGTTTAGTGAAAGTGTTGGTTATTTAAATAGGTATGTCTTTTCTATATTTAGTTATTATAAGCTGAGGTCACAAATATCATAATGAGTGGTTAATTATTTAATATTTAATTTAAACTATATTTTATTATTATTATTTCAACTTGTTCTATGTGAGAGACAGAGTAAGCTGAATTTTATCTTAATGTTGGTGGTTGGACAATCAAATCATAATCATTATTTTATGTTACATTTACTTTAACATATTATATTGTATTGTAATGTTACATTTTACTACATATTTATATTTAACATTTACATACTTGATTTTGTACAGTTTATCTTATTTTATTTATTTGATAAATTGATATTCATTATTTAATATGGTGAGACTTGTTTCAAGTTCTGCATATCAAATGAGTTATTTAGTTAGGGAACTTTGTTGCCGGTTGCTGGTAATAGGATGGTGGATACAGCTCTGCTTTGACAGGCGCACCCAATGGCCAATAATGCCAGGTAACCAATTTAGACAAAGAATGGTTAGATAGGGATATTGATATGAAGTTGTTGTTTTATGGTCTTATTTTATTATTATTGATAATCATTTTATTTTGCTATATTTGATTTGCACTGACATAATTCTATTACTATCATACCTGATTTTATTTATCATTTATGACTGTACATCAATTTTATTGCATAACTCTTGTCCACCACTACACCACTTGTTATTCATATATTTTATTTATACAAATACCATTTATTATTGTTGCTTGTGACCTAAGTTATATTATACTTTGTTTCACATTATTGTTGTTTGCTGCTGTACATTGATAATTGTTTCAATGTGTATTTGTTTTTCTACACCGTCCGAGCCTATCATTTATGTAGGTGAATAATCTTAGCAATATGATAATATAATTTATTATATTCATATTGATTACTTTGATTTTGTTGTATTATTTATATTGTTGAGATGTGCGACATATATGCATGTCTGTATTGTATATGTGGGTTTTTAAGGTTTTACCTTATTAACTTAAATCTATCATACTTTTCAAATACAAATGTTTTTATTTAGATTATTAATGTACAGTAACAATAATTAACTCTTGTATTAATTGTCTTTATTAATAAACTTATTTTAATTTAATACTTTTTCTTTGCTTTTTAAATATCTTTTCAATTGCTCAAGTACTTACGTATCCAGAACCGTATTCACAACAAAAAGGGGTCCTAACTTAATTTCTTTAAACTAGACGATCACGTGTTTTGGCCAAAGGTAGTTTTTTTGTGGTTTTAATATTCTTTTTAATTATTAATGTGTGCCCCCCATGTCCCGTTCGTTACAATACGAGAGAAGGAGACAACTATGATATCGCATTGTAATAAAACGAGACAACAAGGCTAACGCCAATCGTGAGTCTAAATTAATTCGGGCATGCTTCTGAGCCAATCATCTAGCTATAAATATTAGTTTAAATTGCGGTCGTTTCAAAATTCAAATAATAAAATCGTATAAAATCAATCAATTTTATTGACTATTTCACAATTCATGTAATCCAAATATTAAAAATTTATAGTATATTATAGAAAGTAAAATATTTAAATTATACTTAATTTTTTAATTCTCTATGATGAGGCACTGCCTCCCCTGACGGGCCGCCACTGGTTAGTATGCATTTAATTTTTATATTAAACATTTTTTCGTAAACTGAGATATTTCAGTTTCAAGTTGACTCACCCTGTATATTTTTTTAAGGAAATGCAATTTAGTACACCAAAATATTAATATTCTGAAAGTGTGGTTACATACATAGTTGTATATTATTTCCTAATTTAAATAGATTATAGTATTAATAACAGTAATTAATAATAGTAAGTAGGTTTAGCCATTCATAATAATAAATTATGGGTAAATATTGTTTTTGACTTGTCCATACCATATTATAATGTTTATTTACTTAATTTATGTACTGAAAATTAATTGTTTTTTAATGTATATATTTTTTCGAATTATTAAATATTTAAAGGGCCATTTACTCAATAAACAGGTCAAATAAACTGAGCAACAAAAACAACGCACAACCCTAAAATTTTAGATAATTCGAATGTCGATTTTTGTCTAGTCACTGTACAAATAGCGCACGACAGGACAATTCTTGTTTTTGTTATTCCAACCATTGTTATTGTCCCATATTCCATTTTGGAAAATCAATAAATATTAATTTCAGTAAATACCTAGCTGCCTTATTTTTTTAGTAATGCCATTAAATTATAAATATAATAATATTAATTTCTTTCCTTGTTAATAGTTTTACAAGTAATTTTTCACATTTATAAATTAGTCATACCCACCATCGGATAAAGTTTTATACTAAATTATACAATTTTCTTGATAATAAAAAAATGAAAAAACATGGAAAAATTAAGGTCAGTAGATAACTATGCAATAGGCAACCAACCTCACAAGACACATGGAATTTAATTGCCTACAGACAAAATACATTCTCAATACCTTTGAGTATGATTGTACCATTCATTATAGCATGCTAATTAAAGATATTTATTCCTTAAATACTAATCTATTTATTTTAAATCTTAAGAAGAAAAAACCGTTTTGTAAATTTTCTTCAGTTACTTGGATGTTTTTGAAGAAGAATGATCTCGTATATATAGCTCTGTTATGTACATAGTCTTTTTTATTATTGTGTGTTTAATAATATAAAATTAATCTATTGATATACAGCGTGTTTTAATTTCTTTGGTAAATATATATTCATTTAAGTTATTAGAATTCTTCCTCACGAAATTGTTGTTGAAACCAAAATTAAAGAAACGCCCCTGGTAAAAATGATAAAGAAAATTAAAGAAATCACATTTAAAAATAAAAAATACCAATAAAAAAAGTTCAACAAAAAGTGGAGAAAGTGTTTCCAAAAATAATAATAATAATAATAAATGAAGAAAGTGCACCAAAAAATTAATAAAGCAAAGAAACCTTGTCAAAAAATGAAAACATTTTAAAAACTGAAGAACCTACAAAAACTGAAGACCAAATTGAAGAAATCACACAAACAAAAAAATTAAGAAACACTTGAAGAAATACTTGAAAGAACCAGATATGGCTCAAATAACTTTTAGCGATGAAAATTTAGAACTAGATCTTCAAAACGATGAAAAAAATAAAGAAAAGAGGATAAAAGTAAAGAAAACATATAAACGCAATTCTGACAACAAAATAGGCCAAAAATTCCAAGAGCGAAGGTGAAGAATTTTAATGAGTTGATTAAAACGAGAAAATTGAAGAAATGGAAGGAAATGCAGAAAAAAGTGAAGAAAGCTTAAGTAAAGTAAAAAAAACGTACAAAGTTCTAAAGAAACAAAAAGAATGCAAACATACCAAATAAAAAATTGCAACTGAAGATACGGTAAAGATTGCAAAGCCCTAACAAGAAGAAACTGAAGAAATTAAAGTAAGACAATGTTAATCTTCACCGATTAAAACTATACGTAAAGTATTGTTAAGTGAAGATTCTAAAGACTGCAAATAGAATAATATTTATATTATTGTTCAAAATGTACCAAATGAAGATGTCAAGGATAAAAAGGAAGATATAGCAAAGACATTAAAAAAGAAGAAAATTGATCAATTTTATATGTATATTTACTTGACTGTGTTGTAACAAAAAACGATTTTTTACCATTCTTCTTTTTTTCAGCGCCTCATGAATAATGCGGTACAAGGTTACGGCCAAGGAGCTCTCAGTTCCAATCAACAGGTGCCGTACTTACAGGACCAAAACCAACCTTCAGCTTCAATCACGACCTCTCTACGGCAGTTCCGGAAAAAGGACAGTTTGGAAAAAAGCCACCTTGATAATGGCGTCAACGCGTCTCAGACCGAAAACCACGCCCACGTGGCCCGAGTAGCCCCACACAACCATTTTCCGCCCAGAAATAACGACTACTATAGACCTGCAAATCCTTTGATGTCTGATTTTTGGTAAGCGACACCATCTTGAAAACCACTCGATATATTGTAGTGCAAATTTATAAAGTTATTAAGCATGATTGATGTTGGTTACATTCCAAATTTGAACCCTGTAGGTGTCATAGTTTCGGAGATATAAGTAATGGAAAAATCACCTTCAAAGTTGATATCTTCCAAACCACCAACATTCGAATGTTGCAATTTTAGTATGTTATTAAGTATAGTAAAATAACTTTTTATGCCAAGTTTGAACCCTGTAGGTGTAATAGTTTTAGAGTTATAAGTAATGAAAAAAATTACCTTCAAAGTTGATATCTTCGAAATTACCAGATATAGACTGTTGCAATTTTAGTATGTTATTAAGTATAGTAAATTAACTTTTTATGCCAAGTTTGAACCCTGTAGGTATAATAGTTTCGGAGTTATTAGTAATGAAAAAAATCACCTTCAAAGTTAATATCTTTGAAAGTACCAGATATAGAATGTTGCAATTTTAGTATGTTATTAAGTATAGTAAATTTAGATTATATGCCAAATTTGAAGCCTGCAGGTGTTATAGACGCCGAGATATAATCATTGCCAAAATTTGGCATTAAAACTTTAATTGGCACCAATATCTAAACCACAACACCTACAGCGTTAAAATTTTAGTACCTTTTTAAGCTTGATATCGTTAACTTTTAGTCATAATTTCACAATTGTTTCGTTATTATTTTTTGAGTTATATTCAAAACAAATTTCCAGTACCAACTACAAAGATCCCCAGCAAGTGAAATATTCCGAGATAAGCGAGCATCAACCCCAGCAACCTAAAAAAGACTACATGGACATGATGACGCAAAACCATCAAAAACCCGTTTACCCTGATCATCATCTGAACCAGCAACAAAGTTTTGGGCACGATGGGATGCATCCTCAGTATCTGGCGAAGGAAACGATGCATTATAAACAGCAGGAAGCTCATTATTTTCAAAGTCAAATCAAATATAACATGCCAGGGCAGATGAAGAAGTACCCGAATCAAGAGAACGATTTTTTTTCGCAGCTTCAGAAGTTTCATCCATCCATGGCCAGGAGTATCATGAGCGAGCACCATATGAGGGAGAACCAAGGTGGTTATCCGAACATGGAGCAAAATAGGATGTATCAGCAAAGCCAGAGGTATGTTTTTAAGGCAATATCGCATATTTAATAATAATTGTTAGTTTTAGGTATTATCCCAATACAATGCAAAACCCAAATCCATACCATGCGAATTCGTACGGCATTCCTCAGCATTATGGTTACGTTCCACAGAACTGCAATTATAACTCCAGACAAAATCCAATGCCAAGGTTTTCATCAGCCGGTGTTCCAGCGAACATGGAAAGAAGTATATCACCGCGCAGAACTTATCCAGAATTGATGAATTACAACCCAGCCCAACAGAAAATGTCTCCGAATTATCCTCCACAGTACACGCCAGAATATGCTCAACACTACCAACACAGAAGAAGTCACGCCAGTCAGGAGTTTTACAACCAGCAACCAAGAAATCCACAGTTCATGCCAAATGCAATACAGACCATAGAAATTCCGGAAAACAGAGTTACTCCATCGAACGATTTAAAGCAGTTCATCGAAAATTGGGCCGACGATAATGATAATCCCAGTGATATCGCCAAAGACCAAACTGTTTTCATAGTTAACTCGGATGAATTGCAATACTTGGACAGCCCTGTGATCATGGAAAATGGGCAGTTTATCATCAAAAATTTGGAAGAAAAATCGCCAAAAAGTGAAGATGCAACCGAAGATCAAACGTCAAAAGTCGTCATCCATTCCAACACGCTCGTAACGCCAAGCAAAGACGAACCAAAACTTGACAAGGTCGACAAAAACTGTTCACCCATCAATCTGGAACACCTAATAGAAGAAAAATGCGAGCGAGACTCTGTTATATCGCTTTGCCAATCAAATAAAGACGATAGCGACGAAAAAAATTCCGAACCCAGCAAGGATATGCCGATGATAGACCTATTCGATGAAAAAATAAGTGAAGAAACCGAAGCAAGCAATAAAAATGAAGAGGTTAAAGAAAAAACCGACGACATAGGAGAAAACAATGAGGTAAAAGACGCCATAACTGAAGAACCATCCAACCAACAAACCTGCGAAGAAAAAATCGATACCAAAGAAGAAACATCTGATAAAAATGAAGAAAACGCGAGCCTTTTTGAAGAAATAAGGGAAAAAAATGTCACACCCAAAAAAATGTTGAGCAGAAGGAAGAAGAGAATATTTTCCGTGGACGATATCATCAATAAATTAGGGAAGAAACAAGAAATCGCTTCAAAACGAAGAAAAAGCATACTGGCTACCCAAAAGTTTTTGGAAATCGAGAAGGATGCCTGTCAGGAAAAGGAAGATACCAATGAAGAAAGTTCAACAAAAAGTGAAGAAAGTGTTTTCAAAAATGAAGAAAGTGCACCAAAAAATGAGAAAATTGAAGAAAACTCGTCAAAAAATGACGACACCGAAGAATCTACAAAAACTGAAGACCAAATTGAAGAAACAAACGAAATTCAGGCACAAGATAAAGAAATATCTTCAACTGAAGACACAACAGAAGCAATTTCTTCGAACATACAGTACAGAAGCGCAATAAAAATTGAAGAAAGTTCAGTTCTTCTTCACATAGCTGGCGAATTGGTCGAAATAAACGTAAATGTTTTAAATGGGAAAAAGGTAATAACAGTTTTGCCGATATCGGAGAGTACAGTCGTCGATTTTAATGATAATTATGAAACCTTGGAAACTGAAGAAAGTCCGCAAAAAGAAGATCAAGGAAGGATAGAAGAAAATTTGGAAAAAAATGAATGTTTATTGGAAGAAACCAATGTTTTAAATGAAGATATCGCAGAAATTAAAGAAGCAATTGAAGAGATCAAGGAATCAGATGTAATTATGGATGTATGTCCATTAATTGAAGATATTGCCAACGTTGAAACTATAAGTGAAGAAATTGTTGAAGAAATTGAAATTAAATTGGAAGAAATTTTGCCTTTACCCGAAGAACCCATAAAAGAAGATAATAAAAATGAAGAAACAGTAAAAATTGAAGAAACGCCACATGAAAAAACAAAAGAGAAAATTGAAGAAATTACTGATAAAACAAAATCAAATCAAGGTGAGGAAATCAAGAAACCACTCGAAGATAAAGAAGAAGAACCCCAAATAGTTGAAGAAACAGAAACCAAAGACGAGCCCAAATACTTGGAAGAACCAGATATGGTTGAAATAACTTTTGGCGACGAAAATTTAGAACTTGAAGTCGAACTAGATCTTCAAAACGATAAAAAAATTAAAGAAAAGGTCGACAAAATTGAAGAAAAACCCAACAAAATTGAAGAAAAGCAAGATAAAAACCCAATCCTGCCAACAAAAGCGGCTAAAAAAGCTTACGACAGCGATTTTTTGAAGACCGCAGCTAACAAACCAAAGAAAAACAATGAAGATAAAAAGAAGAAAGCCATTCAACTTAAAGAAGAATGTGAAAAGAAAGTTGCAGATGTTTCAGTTAAAAAACCAAAGAAAAGCGAAGAAGCAAAAACGATAAAAAATAATAATGAATCTTCGAAAAATGAGAAGAAATCTAAGAGCGAAGATGAAGAATACGTCAGTTTTAAGGAGTTGGTGAAAGCAAGAAAATTGAAGAAGAAGAAGAAAATGCAGGAAAATCAAGCAAAAGTCCTGCCGACTGTATTAAAAAGTGAAGAAAACGTAAAAAAGAACGAAAAAGTTGAAAATGTCGCGAAAAAAGAAGAATGCAAACAAACCAAAGAAAAAAATGAAGAAATCAATAAAGTGAAGATCGCAAAGCCAAAAGAAGAAGCTGTTAAAAAAACAGAAGAAATTAAAGCAAAACCTGTTGAAAAGGAAGACATCAAAAAGGAAGATTTGAAATCTTCAATTTTAAAGAAAGAATCATCACCGGTAAAGACTATACGTAAAGTATCGTTCAGTGAAGATTCTAAAGACTGCAAAGACAAGAATATTTCAATTGTTGTTCAAAATGTACCAAATGAAGATGTTAAGGATAATAAGGAAGATATTGGAAAGAAAAAACGGCTGAGTCTTGAAGATTACAATAATAGAAAGCGTAAATTATCGCCGGTAAAGGAAGACTTTAAGAAAGAAGAAATAAAAAGCGTTTTCGCCGAAAAGAAGAAATGTGAGTCATTTAATAGACCTAAATCTTTGGAAGAATTTATCATTAAAGAACCTGTGGTTTTGAGAAGAAAAATGTCGTTGGAAGAAAGTTCTTTAAAGTTGAGCATTTTGAATGATTGGGAAGAAAGTATGAGTCCTAAAAGGGCGAATGAAGAAGTTGAGGTGTGTAAAGGTATCAATAATAATTTGATTGATCTGGATAGTTTGAATATTAAAGAAAGTGAAGAAAAGTCTTCAAACAAAGACGCGATACAGAAGTATAAGGATGAAATTGATTCCAAGCTGAGTTCTATTTCGCTAAACATACCGAAGAAGAGCCTTAGGGGGCAGATAAACGCATTGGAAAAGAAGATTGACAATTTTTCTTTTACTCCCAAAGATATAAGTGAGAATCATGTTTTGATGTCGAGGTTTTTGAAGAATGAATATTTGAATGAAGAAGAAATGTTCAAGATAAAGCGTATTATCCAGTACAAACGTATGGTGCAGCATCTTCAAAAACTGAAGAACGGCACTGAACCTTCAGAGTACGAAATCAAAAACGACGACCAAAATTTGAAGCTGCACTTGAAGAAAATTACCGACGAAAGTCAGAAAAGAAAGAAGCGAAGGTTTAGGAACCTGTGCGCGAAATCTTCAATTGAAGAAAATTCCGATTCCGATTTCGAAGAAGAAGACAAAAAAATGTGCGATTACTCGGTCGTTCAGCAGAACTGTCAGTATGCAGGGGTACCAAAGTTAATAATTAAAAGAAAAGTCGAAATTCCCCAACCAGTGGTGAGATTGGAAAGACTGGACATAAGTGTTTACAAAAAAAGAAAGTGGTATTAGGGTTTTATAAACGTTTTTTGTCAGCGTGTTTTAATGAATATATACAGGGTGTTGTCATTTTAATATTTAAGGTGTTTTAGCATCAAAAAAATATTGCATCTTAAGAATTTAGGATTTTTCTTATTGAAACACCCTGTATATTTATGAACTTTTCCGGTGATTAAGAGGGAATTTCATTATGCAATTGTGGGACCAAATATTTGTTTTCATTTATTATTTTTTTGTTGAGTTTTTATAGTATAAAAATGTTGATTTTATGCCTTCTTAGTTATTTATTTTTTCCTTGCAATTTAAAAGTTATGGTTTTTTTTATTTGACCAATAAAATTTATAGAATCTCTGAGTTTGGCCAAATTTTTGAATCTCCTTTCAAAAAATGAAATTCAATTTAATTTTATTACAAAATGTTCCTATGATATTATTTCATTTTATTGTATTGTAACATAATGGGTGTCTTAATGTAATAGTTTTTTATTTCGCATTATTGAGACGCCCTATATAAAGAATCCGCATATAGATATAATAGTACAAGTGAATTCTAAAGAGTTGAATTTTTTTAAAATTTTATAAAATTGTTTGCAAATAATATAATATAAGCTATGTTGTGAATCCCTGCTATATTCAGTATTAAGAAATAAAGCCTTATTGAAAAATATTTTTAGATAAAATATTGCTAAATGTCAAAACATTACATTCCTTATCAGAAAATATATCAACTTTTTTCAGTGTTAGTAGGGTGTCCCAGGTTTTAGTAAGATTTTCTTTATTATCTCCCAACTAAAATTTGGGACACCATTAAAATATAAGTGTGATATTTAACCACATTTTTGTATATATAATTTCTATTTTGTATATTTGGGCATTGTTTTTTTTGTTTTAAAATCATGGAAAAACTATAGGGTGTCAAACTAGTCCTGTTGTACATTTTGTTGTAAATATTTTCGAATTTAATAAAAAAAAAAGTTTGTTTTAGGGTTAAAATTATTATGTTTTTAATACTTTTAGAGTTTTGTTTAGTTTATTGTTCAATGGAAAATATTGGGACTTTTGTTATTTCGTTATAACTTTAAAGTGTTTTTAAAGGTAATATGTAACTTTATATTAAATTTTAATATTTTAGCATTAAAACTTTAAAGTTGTAACACAATAAAAACTTTTCCAATTTTTTAACATGATATGTATGGGTATGATAGTTTTTCTATGGTTATTGTTTTATAAATATTTTATAGTTACCAAGCACTTTTAAGTATTTTTTACACATTTTTCGTTTTAAAAACACAGTAAAAATCAAAATTAGTGCCTAAAATGTGTCTTGTAATAATAAAAAAAATGGTTGTAATATTTTCGTGTGTTAAAAAATTCTAGAGTGCCTTTGTCAGCACACTGACTGTTGTATTTACCAAATTGTTGTGGTAATTTTGTAATATTTTATGCACTGTGTTAAAAATAAAAAATATTTAATAAAAAATTCACAATTTTTTTATTTACAATGTAATTTACAATTTAAAAATAATTTTTATTAAAACCCAACAACTGGGAATTTATCCAAGATTTTCCTAAGCGTTTCCGGAAAAATTGCGAAAAATTTGAATCTTTTGCCCATTTTATCATCCCTTGTTAACATTTCATATGAAGCAGTTAAATTCCTTATATGTTCTTTATCTGTTAGAGATCCTAAAAGGTTTTTAAATCGACATTCCAGACCAACTTTAAGTAAAAATTCCCGTTGAGATATGGGACCATATGGTATGACCCCACCAACGTTTTCAACAACCTAAAAAATACATAAGAAGTTTATTCTTTAACAAATGAATATAAAAATTTGTTTTTTGATCTAACAAGTTATAAAAACAAACCTGTTTAATCATAGAAAAGTCTACATCTGCAGTTAAGTCGCTTGAACCTGGGTTTTCCAAAGGATTCACTTGAACGTGTTTTTTAAAGGCTCTAAAGGTATCAGTTCCTAAAAAAATTTATTAAAAAATTAAAACATTAAATTCTATCCATTTTTTATCCACAATTTTTTACTGTAAAACAGTTTGCTTAAGAGATACCGTGGTATGTCATTAAATAGACATAGAAGTGACATAAAACCAATATGTCAAATATCTCGCTGTGTGAATTTTTGGACGTAAAGTGCAATGACAGTTTTTGTAGGGAATTATATTCTGAATATTTTTTATTTTAAACTTTTTTCTGTAAAATAAATAATTTCGAAAGTATAGCGATTTGTCACCAAAGTAACATGTTAAATGTTGTCATTTCCTAAAATTAAACTTCTCTATATTTTTGGATATTTACAATAAAGTTGTGTTTATATTTTGGAGATATCGTGGTATATCACAAAATATACATAAAAGTGACATAAAACTAACATATTTCGATATCTCGCTTTTTTCTGGCCATGAAGTATAATTACACTTTTAGAATGGACCTAAATTCTAAAAAAAATATTTTACACTTTTTTTGTATAGCGAGATATAGCGATATGTTACCAAATTAACATAAAAGTGACTCGGAAAATATTCAGAAAATTAAATTCATATTTTTGTTTTAAACTTTATTATTTCTGTAGAGAAATTAATTCTGCACATTTTTTTTACTAACAACTTTTATTCTGTAGTGGTATGTCACCAAACAAGACATTAAAGTGACATAAAACCAACATATAAAATTATCTCGTAAAATATTCAGAAAATTAAATTCATATTTATGTTTTAAACTTTTTTATGTAAACTTGTTAGGTATATATTTCCAAACATTTGTCACAAGTTTACATAGAAGTGATCTCGCTTTCTGGTAAATTTACGACCAACTTTATTAACTTTTTTAATAGAGAATTTAATTTTACACATTTTTTTCTTTAACTTTTTTCTGTAGAAATTATTATTTCGGAGATATCGAGGTTTGTCACAAAATTAACATAAAAGTGACATAAATTCAACAAGTAAAATAGCTCGCTTTGTGTGAATTTCTGTAAAGAAATTAATTCTGCAAATTATTTTTGTCAACAACATTTATTCTGTAGTGGTATATCACAAAACAGACATAAAAGTGACATAAAACCAACATATCAAAATATTTCGCTTTGTTTGAATTTCTGGCCATAAATTATAATTACACTTTTAGGAGACAACTAAATTCTAAAAATAAATTATCAGTTATATAAAAGTGACCTGTAAAATATCTTCCAATTTTAGATAATTAAATTTAATTCTCCATATTATTAACTTTTTAAATAGAAAATTTTGTTCTACACATTTTTGAATTTTTTCTCTAGAATTTATTATTATTATTTCGGAGATATCGAGGTTTGTCACAAAGTTAACATAAAAGTGACATAAATCAAACTTTGTTTGAATTTCTGTAGAGAAATTAATTCTGCACATTTTTTTATTAACAACTTTTATTCTGTAAAACGGTATGTCATCAGTTACATAAAAGTTAACATAAAAGTGACATAAATCCAACAAGTGAAATATCTCGTGAATTTCTGTGAAGAAATTAATTCTGCATATTTTTTACTAACAACTTTTATTCTGAAGACCGGTATGACATTAAAGTTACATAAAAGTGACATGTAAAATATCTTTCAATTTTAGATAATTGAATTAAATTCTCCATATTTTTGTTTTAAACATTTTATGTAGAAAACATATTTTCAAAGATACTTCACGAAGTTTACGTAGAAGTCATCTCGCTTTCTGGTAATTTTACGCCAAAATTTTGTAGAAAATTAAATTCTTTACATTTTTTTATTTTAAACTTTTTTCTGTAAAACTAATAGTTTCGAAGATCTACCGAAATGTCATCAAAGTAACATAAAATATCTTCAGACTATTAGATTAAATTCTCTATATATTTGTTTCAAAGACTTTTATGTGGAATACATATTTTAAAATTTACGATTAAGTTATGTTAACTTTTTTTGTCTTTAAATTTTTTCAGTAGATCGCATTATTTCGGAGATATCACAAAATTAACATAAAAGTGACATCAATCTAACATGTGAAATATCTCGGTTTGTGTACATTTCTGGACAAAAAGTGTTATAACACTTTTTGTAGAGAAATAAATTACACACATTTTTTATTTAAACTTTTTTTCTGTAGAACGCAGTATTTCGAAGATATAGCGGTATGTCACAAAATTACGTTAAAGTGACTTACCGTCTCCATTATGTCCGTAGTCACAGAATAAGGCGATTCCGCCGCATTCTACAAGTCTCTTGCAGATATTTTCAATGATAAAAATAGAATCTGGTGACACTTCTATGTGATCACGGTTCTCATTCTTTGATACCAGATATTTTGACATTGGTGTCTTGTTTTTCGCTAGGACGTATCTGAAGTGGGGTTTCGGGGAGTCTACGTTGGGGTCCAAGTCTATTAGGACTTCCCTGAAGCCCTGATAAGTCTTGTGAAATTTGTGTATGGGCAACGCATCAAAAAATTCATGCGCAATAAACATTGAAAAACCTTTCGGGACATCTTGCATTTGATTGTACCATTTTACAGGTATACCAGCCTTATAAATACCCTCCCTGTACACTTTACTCTCAGATATCGGGGTGACTTGCTTACATAACCTCTTTGCTTGTATATCGCTTAAAGCAGGACTCACTTCTACCAGATGTAGTGAAGCCCGATGTAGCGCCTTTAAGTGCCCAAAAACATTCAAAATATCGTTCGAAAGTGTACCTCTACCAGGCCCCAACTCAACGAACTGCAATGGTACTGGTGATCCAAGCTTTTGCCATTCATTTAAAAACCAAACGGCCAACATTTCACCAAACATTTGCGTGATTTCAGGTGACGTAATGAAATCACCTTGCTCCCCGAAAACATCCTTATGCATGTAGTAACCCCCTGCAGGGTGCGTCAGCACTTCTTTCATGTACTCCGCCACCGTCAGAGGCCCCCCAATCTTTATACGTTGAACCAGTTGTTTCGTAAGGTTCTTCGACTCATAATCAAGCTTTTTACTGCCGGTTTGGTTGATTTTTTGCAGACTGAAGGCACGTATTTGCCTTGGAATCAGGAATTTTGAAAGCATTTTGCGGATTTTAGTGAAATTTGTCAAATTTTTGGCATTATTTATAACATAACCTCATTTTTTTTGCCGGTTTTTATTTATAGAGGTTTACCGTTGTTGGCAGATCTAATTGTTGTTGCTTTTATTGTTTGTTGTATTTACAAAGAAGTTTTAGTTTACTAGTTTTATTTTTCCATATTTCGTGTTACCAAATGCACAGTGGGACAAAGAATTTATTTTGATGGCAACTTATTTTTCAACAAATAATTAAAAATGTTAAGGCTTGTTCAAAAATGCTTTATAATGGAGCTACTTTCCTTGAATATGGCACTATATATATATATATATATATATATATATATATATATAAGGGTGAATATATTGAAATGTCCCCCAAGTAAAAATGATTATATTTTATTTTTGGTTGTTTTACTGTTGGACTATACTTAATGGGGTTTTTGGGAAGCCACCAGGTCTAGTAATAACATAACATAAGTGGTTCTGCACTAATGCAAGAATTTTAAGAAATCATACATTTTGAATATTAGAGCTTCACGGAAGATAGCTTCACGGAGGTTAGGATTTCGTATGTTTTTTTTAATACAATTGTACACACATAATATATTTATAAAAAAATCTACTGAGATATTACACTTCACGGTGGATAGGTTTTTAAATGGCAAATTAATGAACTTAAACTTTTAAATTATAAAACAGCAACACTCTCATCTGCACATAAATTCTAACTGACCTTCAGGAATCACATGCATCTATAATGTCGTAAACAGAGGTTTTTGCTTATTTAAAATGATTAAAGCGCCATCCGTTGCATAAAATTTAAAGCAAAAACATATTCACGGAGGATAGACTCGATTGCTTTAGATGTCTTTAATTTACTAATATTTTTAGTATGCTTTTACTACCTCAGATATTTAAAAACATATAGGTTAGACTTATAAAACATTGTAAAAAATAATTAATGGTTAAAAATCTGGAACCTGAGCTGTAATACCTATCTACTTGAAAGATCAAAACACAATAAAAGTGTAGGTCAAACTCATTTAGTTTTATTAAATATCACGGGGTAACACCATCTTCATATTTTTCGTATGCGACTATAGAAGTAGAAAAAACATTTTCTCAAATTATGATCCCCGAGTTGTAAAATCATCCCATTGTGCGCAAAGCTAACTTCACGATACAGTGTACCCAACATCTCTTCTTCTGGTACTGTCATTTTTGTATTTAAGGCCAACTTCGCGGTGTTTTGCTGAAAACCGTTATTTTTATTCAAATTTCAAACTGTGTTGATCTTTGTTGCAAGTTCTATTGAAAATGTTTCCGATTAAAAGTGATAGTTTTAGTTTTCGGCGTAATTCGACAGCGAATTCTTCGAATTCCAGTAACAGAAGCTCGGGAATGCAAAATTGTAGGAGAAATTTGCAGAAGAATTTCGAAGATAAAAGTGATGATTCCAGTAAGGAAGGTAACGATAGGAGCGTTTTATCCGTTTTGTCTTTCAATGAGAATACGAGGAAAGTTTTGAGGAATGGGGCTGAAAGGATTACAAAGACTTTTAACACAGTTCGGACTACATTTGGATCAATTTCACAGGTAAGTTTAGCATACCTAAAAATAGGTCTTATTTGTTTGCGAGTGCTAAAAATATTATTTTTGTTGCAGAAGTTCAAAATATCGACCAAAAGACGTCAAATTTTGGAGGAAGGACCCATGACTCCCAATTGTGCAACCCCACAAACTTTTTCAAAACAAATTCTTGGCAGGACTCCAGAGAAAATGTACAGCCCCTTTGGTATCGATAGCCCTTACTGTAGTACAACATACAACAAAGAGAATGTGCCTAATTTGAATAATTTTGCCTCTTTATCAAAATACAATAGATAGGTATACCTACCTACAGGTAACTTAATGTAATATTTTAAAGTATTTATTGTACTTTTATTACTATGTTTGTGTTTGAATATTATTTCAGTGAAATTATTTTAAGAAAGGGATTATTACAGGTGTTTATTATGGGCGAAAAAAATTTAAAGTGAAATAACAAAATAAACATTTTGTTATTTTGGATTTAATTTTTACCTATAATTGCTTTTAAAGGATTCATACACTGCGTAGAATCCCTTTACACACCGGTATTTTTTACATTAAAATCGCATTTTATTATTTTTTTTAATAATTATTTATAATTTTTTAGACTGATCTTTTTACTCTAAGGCAAAATATTTTTGCCACCTTATATTTATTATGTAATTATTAAAATTTATACAGTTTATAATTCTTGGCCTTTTATTTTTTAACCCAACTTTTAAAGCTGGTGAGAGCTGTTTTGCAATCTGGGTTGCCTACCTACATTTAAACAAACTGGGCTCTCATTGGCGGCCTTAAAAGTTAAATAACTGGGTCGTTTTAAAAAAACACCCGCCTTCCGCTGTCCGTAAGTTTGAATTTTTTTTTAATTTTGAAACTTGTGAAACACACATTTTCGCATGTCCCATTAGCGTTTTATAAAACTTACATACATGTTTTTTTTTAATATTGAATAACCAGAACTTTGTGTTGCTTTATAGCAAACCATAACATCCTTAGTTAATAAAGTAAACAATTTATATATAAATTAATTAATTTTAATCTACTTTTTTTAAATTTGACTCATGTCCCAGACATTTTTTCCGTTGCGTTACGTCCGTCGCGTTACCGATAGAATATTTAAAAAAACATATATATGGCAACTTTTTTGGCACTCACGTGATTAACAAATGATGTTCGGACGTACACATTACCCAGCTGAATTTATTTATTCAATCAGGAAGAAGATATCGGTTGAAACAGGTGCGGGTAACGCGAATGTAATAATTGTTTGTACGCTAAGTTACTCAAAAAAAAATAAGGTAAGAAAAAATACTATTTTTCATGCTTATGTTTATTTTAGGGCTCTAAAGCTCATTGAGAGTAATTAATGACTGTAATGTTTTATTATTATTTTTTAAATATGGTTTCACAAAACTTTGTCCACTGCGTTACCGAGTCCATTACGTTACCTTATGGTAACGCAATGGAATTTAGGGTAACACAATAGAATTTTTCGACAACAAAGTGGATATTTACCGTCGCTTTTATTAAAAAGCCAATTTAAAATTATTTGTGATTACAACTCATGATATAGATTACATCCAAGGGAAAATTCCACGCAATATACAAGTACTAAAAGGGACGAAAGACCTTAGTAAAAGAAAAAGGGTGTCTATAATTTAGAAATCTAAGTTGTTAATCTGCAAGTGAGCACCAATATAGTCACGGCCAAATCTGTATGGGTGCACGTCATCAACGGCATATGACGTCAGCGTTAAGGTCTATTCATACGTGCCCAGATACAATCTAACGCTCGTGTATTGTTGACTGTTTATAGCGGTGGGGGCTGTTATTAAGATGGAATTATAACGTCCTTGTTATAATCTTCTGCACTAACTAATTAGGAGTTTGTTACAGGCAAATTTTTATTAAATGTGTTTAAAGAGAAAACAAACGGAGTTTATTACATTTTTATTACATATGCACATAACAAAAAAATACTAAATTATCAGAAACACAAAAATAATAAATTACCAGTCGTCCTTGTCATCAGAGCAAACCAGGTCAGAATTGAAGTCTGATTATTTCCCCAAATTTATTATTAAGGGCGCAATCTCTTTGAAATCTAATAACGGCTAGTTGCCAACAAGCCTTATATCATTGTTTGCACAATCCAGGGATAGAATCTTATAAACATAATGTATAATATTATTTATAATAATTTGCAACAAACGATGCTTCCGGACGAAATGTCACAATTACAAAAATACGTCAAATATAAAATGACAGCGACCCATCAATAATATTGAACGGTGCGCGCCAGCCTTAAGCTATTACCAACTGGCACACACAAAAATTACTAAGTGAATGGTTTTATTTTGATAATTTCGTGAAAAAACGTTTTAAAACAAGGAAATTGTTACAGTTCTTGATAAACAATACGCAAATGAATGATTTCTTTTTAATAACACATCAGAATTACGCCTTAAAAAAGCAAATTTAACGGCAGTAACTTTACAATTCAAAGTTGGTAATGCTGACGTCATTATATCTCATTGATGACGTGCACCCATATAGATTTGGCCGTGACTATACAAGGGATTTTGTTTATGCATTACTCTAAAATCGTACCACCCTATATAGTTTCTTTTTTACGTTATCTGATTAAGTCCTTTGTGTACCCCAGTCCGTTGTGATACCAATGTCTATTTCGTTACATTTTTTAGTTTTTGTTAAAAAAAATCCTTAAAATGATTTTACTATCACTTGGTGTTTATAAATTAGAGTTTAACTCACTAATACAGTGACTAAAAGAAAATATTAATGGTATTGTTTTTTAACAAAGAATCGGAATGGTGTCTTTTAAAAAGTAACTTAACTAACATAAATATTTAAAAACGGCATACCTACAACTTTTAATAAAAAATAAAATTGGAGTCAAAAGTTTGTGAACTAAGTACATTTTATTTCAAATTATTTTTATAACAACTTTTTTTAGTGAATTAAATTTTGGATTTCAAATTGGTAACACAGTGGAGACATATAAAGCTAGCTAAACACATTCTTCTGAAAAAAACGTAAAAAAAAATAAAAAGTGCACTGCCTGTCTTAAATGTAAGTAAACAAAACTCTAAACATTTATAAAAATCCAACCAAGTCAATTTAAGCAAAAAAAAAATTTGCAAATTTGAAAAATAGGAAAAGGAAAATTCTAGAATAATGAAAAACGTTCAACTTATTATAATTTATTAAGACCAAACCAAATAAACGTTAATATATTAGAATGTACGCCATTTTTACACAAATATACACTAAATATAACCTAAAAATTAAACTTCACTTACACAGATTTAAAATAATTCAAACCGAAATGACAGAGAAAGGACAAAAACAAGTTATATTACAAGAGATGGAAAATAAAAATATAAAATTTGGTTTGACAGCTGTCATTTTGATTTGAAACGCCTTAAAACGAAATACAACCGTCAGATGGGTATAAAATTGACAGTTGTCAAAATGACAGACCAAACGTCAATTTTGACGAAATATAACCGTCAGATGGGTGTAGAATTGACAGGTGTCAACATGACAGATTAAACGTCAATTTTGACAGCGACTTGCCGAATTTGACAGATGTCAAGATTTTTTTGCGAAATTTGAAAATGTACAGATCGAAACTTTGTTTTTAATTTAAATAAATCACATAACGTTATCACAGCCAATATTTACACATGTATATTGGTTAAAGGAGCGTGAACAAAAGATGGCGGTTTGGTTTTGACAGTTACCGACTGTCAAAATTATAATAAAAAACAAAAGGTGGCGGTTTGGACTAACTGTCAAAATTATAAATTTTGATTCAACTCAAAAATATAAAAATAGAGATTTTGGAAATGTGCACTGACTGCACAAGAAATTGTTTGCAGTGTCAAATTAAAAATATTTCTTGGAAAAAACAACATAAAAAATCAATTAGTACAGTATTTTTGACCTTGACTGTACTAAAATGGTAAAAAAACACTGTCAAAACAATCGCGAGTTTATTCTGTAATATTGAACCTGTTTTCGTAAATTTTGTCCCGATGTTTTTGGTCAAAAATAGGGCTTAAGATGGTTTCGGTATTTTGTATTCTTTTCTTGAATCTTTCTCTATCTCGCGCGTATACTTCCCAAGGTCCTTTTCTAGCTGCCTGATAGGCGTACGCCCATTGCACCATTGGGTGTACTTCGCAAAGGTCCTCTTCCTCGGCAAACCTAACCTAAAATAGAACCTTACAATATACAATATACGAATATAGTCTGAAATATAACAAAACTTGTTATAACGTTTTTATAAATAGTCTAATTCCACAAAATAGAACATTTTAATCCATACATAAATAGCAATAGCTACCAACTTACAAAAACAAAATTTACTTTGTCATTTTATTACATCAAAATGCCACTGTCGAGTTTTTTTCACAATTAGCAAATACTGTTAAAAATGTTTGAATATTTTTTATAAGTCACTGAATGTTTTTTTTCAATATTTTTTTTTACAAAACACTTAAGTAATTAGTCAAAAAATTGTTTATAACCTAAAAAATTGACGCCATTATATTTTAAACAATGACAGATTACGTGGTAACTATAGATACCGTCAACTCACCCGTAACAGGTTTCTTGATACAAAATAATATAATTTTATAAAATGTTAAATATCTCTGAAATTACCATCTTTAGGTATAGGGAATAGTTACATCAATCGAAAGGTTTTTTAATTTACTATTTGATTATGTAAAAATATACCGGGTGTTACATTTAAAATAAAAAAGTTATTAACGTTTCAAGTTAGCCTGATTTGCCCTGGGTTTTCTTAGGTAATTTGTTGAAAAATGTTAAAGAATTGACATGGAATATTTTAAACAATGTTTTAAGATTCCAAAAATTCCACCCTGATATCCGCAAAGATAATAACAAAAAAGTTATAGGCTATTTTTGATTGACGCGCATTTGTCATATTTTAACGAAAAAAATTAATAACTCAAAAACAATTGACTTTAGGTATAAGACATGGTATAGTAATTTTACTCAGAATTTTATGTAGAATTTAAAAATGTGAAAATATTTTTAAAATAACAATGTTTATGTCACTTCCGGTTAAACCGGAAGTGTCATTTTGTTCAAAATATTTTTTTTAAATACTTAAATGGATTATAGACGCTTTTAAAATTTCAAATCGATATCTTTTTCCGTTCCCCAGAAACTTATAAAGGAGCACGAATGTGAAACATATACCTAACTTGATTAAAACTAAAAACGCTAAATAAAAAAGTCGACTTAAAATATCTAAAAAAAAAACATTAAAAAAACGTTTTACGTATACTTTGGCGCCCTCTACATTTGTAGGAACTAAATTTTCTGTATTTCATATAAAAACTTATGTTGAAAATTTAAAGCACCACATTTTTTGCTTTAACACTGTCTAACCAATAGAAAACGAGATAAAGGGATTTAAAAATTAAAACATATCCATCAGTGGCGGCCCGTGACATTTCATTTTGGTGAGGCAGAGGCATGGTTTCGCCCTCATTTAAAGGCGAAGAAATTTTTTTAAACCCAACTTAAAAAACTGACGTCGCAGTTTACAACCTATACTTAAAACTAAGTAAAAAACTGTGGTGGGGAAGGAATCCTCTACATTGTCAATGAAATATATTTTATTGTAAAAATTATTAATTAATATTTCATTGTTCAGCAAGAACCACGTGAACAAACTATATCGGTACAAATTCTCACCGTAATATCCATAATGACTAAATTCACATAAATCACCAAGTACAATTAACTAAACCCACAGAATAAACCACTTACAAAAGAATCATAAAATAGACAAACTCATAGAAAAAGAATAAACAAAATATTGCGTAAATAACCACAGATTTGTTCTTTAAACAGTTCAGAAATTTATAACCAAAACAAACCTAAAGAAGGAATCTGTATTTATTTTATTGGTTACTGTGATGGCTACAAGATGGCGATAGTGTTAAAATATGTTTATTTTAGAATAGAAATATAATTTCGATTAAATCGATTTTTTTATAAGAAAAATAATACCATTTATTATTGAATTTTGAAAAACGTGCGAAGTATAATTTATCTAAAATTCCGCAACAGTGTTGCCACAACACCTGCTTATTTCCTTGGATGTAGGCGTGCCTGCCTCGCGTATGCTAATACGAGAGAAGGAGACAACTATGATATCGCATTGTAATAGAACGAAACAAGGCTAACGCCAATCGTGAGTCTAAATTAGTTCAGGCATGCTTCTGAGCCAATCATCTAGCTATAAATATTAGTTTAAATTGCGGTCGTTTCAAATTCAAATAATTTAAATGTTGCTGCGTATTCCATGTATAAAATCAATCAATTTTATTGACTATTTCACAATTCATGTAATCCAAATATTAAAAGTTTATAGCATATTATATAGAAAGTAAAATATTTAAATTATACTTAATTTTTTAATTCTCTATGATGAGGCACTGCCTCACCTGCCTCCCCTGACGGGCCGCCACTGATATCCATAGAATGTACCCCTGATTATTAAATGACTAATAAGTATTATTGCAAGTCAGTATGACACACAATCTTTTGCAACAATGTGTAATAAAAAGTAATGGGAATAATTTTGTTGAATCTTTATTAAAATTTACCTCCTGATTTAATTTTTTTTATTTTCAAGTGTTTGGAAAATAATTTGGCATTAAAAAAATCAAAAAAGTGCTGAATTAAAAAAGTAATTTTAATAAAAAAAATAAGTTGGTAAAGTTAAAAAATCATTTTCAATGTTTGTGTAGGTATTAATAATTAATTAATTAAAATTCCAATATAGTAAATATTTGTTTTTGTTACATCATTATGCATATAATTTTGTTCTACATTTATTTGTATTCTTGAAAGTATCACAAAAAAATTGAAAGTACTTTTATTGAGTTCAATGTCAACTCTTGTATTTAAAAGTAAACAAAACAAAATAGTACCTATTATTATTATTATTATTTATATTTTAAATGTCCATAATAGAAAAAAATCTTTTCCTTAAAAATTAATTGATTGGCAAATTTATTTACTTAGCTTATTTTCAAGGAACATGTGGTAAATTCAGAATATACAAAAATTGTAAACAATTGGTCTAAAACGTGATAATTCCATGATAATATCATTGATTATTATGGAACTGTCTGTGGTCAACCAATATAAAAATTTTAAATCAAAATAAATTGAAGGTTATCTACTTTTATAATATAAATGAATTTAAATTTTTAAAATTAATAATTCTTATCTATTAATTATTATATATTGTTAACCTTTGATATTTTATATTATTTTACCATATTTAAATAAAAAATGATTTTTAAAAACTAATTATAAAAACTAATAACAAATAATGTGTAATGATAACAAAAAAATAAAAAACTCACTCTTTTATTTGGTATAACAGATCCGGAAGAATCAAAATCTGAACCTGAGTCATCTGAATCATCAGATTCACTATCACCACTACTAATATCATTGTCGGAAAAATTTAACTCATCTTCAGAACCAGATTCAAAAACTACAAAGCTGTCTTCACTTTCGCAGACCGACATTTGTCTCTCTCTGCTGAGAAAATTATGGCAGTTTTTTGGGGGGGTTATACAGAACGTTATGCTCTCTTTTATTACAGGGGATATATTTATTGTTTGTTTAGGGCTGTTATTTTCTTGTACTTCCATTGTATCGCAACTTTTCAAGCTTTCAGATATGAAATCTTGCAATACCAATGGTTGAGGTGATACAAAAACATTAAAATTGTCCACCATTGGTTTGTCTTCCACGTCCATTGAAATGTTTGTGTTTACATCAATACTATCCTTATTTTTCTTGCTCAAATGCTTCCTCCTTCGTGGCTTTCTACAATTCTTCCCTGCACACATTTCTATAGGTTCTGACTTCATAATAATATCAGGTTTGATTTTTTTTATATTCTCGATAATCGTACTGGAATTTGGAGTGGCTATATCCTCGTTGACGCGCCTAATGTCAGTTATGTGAGTTTTCCCGTGTATATTTTTCTTGACTTCACCCAGAAACGTAGGATTTGTGAAAAATTTGTTCGGCTGTATATTGATTGTACCAAAATTTGTAATGCCATGATAACCTCGTTTTTGAACCCCGAGCGGTCCCGCTACAGAAAAATTCATGCTGCCCCACATTTTGATTCTTTTTTACACGGTTATATCGTCCAAAAGACACAAAAATCTACTTTTTCTCCAATCGGAAAATTTCTTCTTTCGAACACTCTGTAAAACTTCAACGTTGCACAAAATATCAAAATCCTCTGTATATTTGTTAAATTCACAACTTTTTTTAGCCATTTTCATCAATAATACACTTTAATAACAATATGCTTAATTCTCCATTTTGATAAACTGTCAAAGTAATGATTTTATTTTTCTTGGGTTGGTGTTACCGCAGTGGCTGTCAAAATGTTACCCAACAAATAAATGAAATCCTTATTATCACTCATAATAATAATAAAAACCGTATAAAAAAGCTGTGTTGGTAATAAATTTATTATATTCTCGTATAATAATTAAACATTTAACGTAAAATCAACAAATTTTAAAAACATTTTTTATACCACTGCTTTTACCATTTACAATCGCGTGACGTCACTATCAGTTAACTTTGCCCGCTGAGATAACAATATAAGCAATTCCCATTAATTACGATAAAATTTTAATTCAAATATTATTTTAATTTAAAATTGGTAGCGTAATACATTATTATGTACAGTTTAGTTATCAAAAAACAATACATTAGAGAGGTTTTCGTGTTATTTAAAAACGCCGCGGGCATTTTTTAGCGACCTTTCAGCTTTGTTATTTATGAGTAATTTTTGTATTTATAGTAAATTACATTGTATTTCGCTAAATAAGAGCATTTACTCGTAAAACAGGGCCGTATTTTACCCAGGAACGTACTAAAAATGTTTTGGGAAATATCATTAAAATTAGTACCTATAGGTATACCTACTGGGGCATGTTATAGAAATTATGTTTTTTACTCCTATTGCCTAATTTTCATTGGAAAAATAAAAAAGAAAGGTATACATTAAAAATTGAGGTTGGAACATTTGACATCATTTGATATAGGACATATATCAAATGATCCAACCTCACTTTTTAATTAAATTTTATTTAGGGTACCAGGGGCGACTATGATGTTTTTGGGATTGCAACTACCTACCTGATTGGTTCAAATCACAGTGGATAAAACAACTGGCCAATCGCTGATGCCTAACAACGGGAATAATAAGTTCATTATTCCCGTTGTAAGCATTATATTATGTTAATTAATGTTAATTATCTCGAAAAAATTGTTCTTGGGCATATTAACATATTTATATTATTTTTGAGTAGATAAAATTATCTAAAATTCCACAAAAATATTTTTTAAATTGGTCAAAAATTAACAAGACTGTCTTAATTTTAAGACAACTAAATTTGACTGGTAGCACACTTTATTCTAAGAATGTTTTTTAAACCTTCCAGTGAGAATATTCTTAGGATCATGCTATATTTCTTCTAAAGAACATGCTTAAAAGACATATAGCATGATCCTAAGAATATTCTTACTGGCCTATAGGCAGGTTCTTAGAAGGTGCAAAGTTTTAGTGGTAAAAATTAGTCTAATCTAAACATATGCTTAGAATGTTAAAAAAATAATTGCTATAGAAAGTTCATGTAGAAATATTCCTTTTAAGCATATTTAGTTCAGTTACCTATATAATAGTAAAATGTACCATAAACTACTTACGTATAAAGGTAGGTATATACCTATACTTAAGTACCTAATTAGTACTTGGTATTAAATACTAAGTAAAAAACACAATCCAAAATATTCTTTTATAGTTATTTGTCCAATTAAAACAATATTCGATAACAAAAATACTTTTACTATAGGTATTTTATTTTATGTTAAAAATAAATATTTATTAATTTGTATACCGATTTTTTATTTCTGAATTAACATTTTTATGTAAAATAATCCTAAATATCTTCAACTTCAATCTAATCTGACTTATCCCACAAAATTTTCCAATTTTACTTTTTATGAAATAATGTCATACAACTTATGGTTTAGAGGTCAAATTGTTTATATAATATTTTTAAATAAATGTATATTAATATGTCACAACATTTTTTAAGGGGACGACAAATACATTTCACTGACATATTATGACAGTTGTCGTCTCCTGAAGAATTTTACGAATGTAGAATACAACATATTAGAACGTGGGTATCTGACATATTTGGAAATATTCTCAAAAGCTTCCTAGAAGCTCCATAAGAAACCTTCTAAGAACATTCCAAAAACGTATTCTTAAAATGTTCTTGACAGGACTACATTTTGTTAATTATCTCGAAAAAATTGTTATGGGGCATATTAACATTTTTATATTATCTTTGAGTGGATGAAATTATCTAAAATTGCACATAATTATTTTTTAATTTGGTCAAAAATTAACAAGACTACAGAGTGTCAAAGTTTGTCTTAATTTTAAGACAACTAAATTTGACACGACTTTATAATTTGTTAATTATCTTCAAAAATTTGTAATGGGGTATATTAAGATATTTATATTATCTTAAAGTAGATAAAATTCTCTAACATTTGATATAATTATTTTTGAAATCGGGCAAAAAACAACAAAACCACAGTTAAATATAAGTAACGTTTATTTTAGAATAGTATTAACAAAGTAGGGTATTTATTTTATGTGGCGTGACGGACTGGACAGCTGTTGGCCCAATGGCCAGGTTGGCCACAAGTGTAACAAGCCCCGTAGCCCCCATAGTAGGGGCGGCGCGAGCCCCTGTGGCCCGAGGGGTTGTACCAATCGTCATTTAGATAATCGTAATTATCTTCAGAAACCGAAAGGTCGCTGTCCTCTTCAAAGTACATTAGACTGTCATCTGACAACGAGTCATTGTCGCTCAGTTCAATGACCTGGAATTGTAGCAGTGATGGCGATAAAGTAATTTTTGTTGTTTAATTAATTAACTATCACCCCACAATCCACACAACAAGGTCTGTTCTATAGACCAGTGCAGAAGCCTTTAAAAATGGTAAAAAGAGAAAAAAAATAACAGTAGGATGAAACCCATTGGAAAAGGAGGGAAATATAATAAAAATTAAAGGAACAATAAATTACGGGCGATCTGAGTTCGGGAAGTGGGAGGGGGGGGGTTTAAGGGTAAAAAATGGTTTATCTCGATTTCCGGCAAAACTAGTCCTATGGAAAAAAGTTAAATGTCAAAGTTGTAGGTAATAAAAAGATCTACAACTTTTGTATTTACAATTTTTTCACATAACCTCAAAATTTATGTGAAAAATTCAAAAAACCAAGTTTTTGGTTTTTTATTTTTATCTTTTAAAAAAAAAAAATTTTTTACACGAAATTTGGTGAAAACTTACCTTTTTATGTCCCAAATACACTGTAATTTATTTGATTTGAAATATTTATTATTTCGCCTTATTTTGACTTAATATCAAAAAAGCACCCTAATTTTCAATCGAAAATTCTCGCGTCAAAATATCAGCTTTTTTCAAAAAGTCGGTGTGCTTTTTGTTCGATGAACTCTCTACTTTCTGATGGTGTAAAAAATATATACATTACTATGGTAAATGTTCTCAGAAAATACAAAAAATATTATAATGAATAACGTAATCAGAATGAAGTATTTAAATTCAATAGTATGATTTACATGTATTTTTATATTTTATAAGATTTTCTGACATAAATGTTATTAGAATTTAATAAATAAACTTTTTAACTAAAAAAAATTGCAACAATCACATTTTTTTGATGAAATTGTACATAATGATTAAAATAAATTTTCGAATTCGAGTTTTTTTCGTTATTCATTATAATATTTTTTGCATTTTCTGAGAACATTTACCATTTAACTTTTTTCCATAGGACTTGTAGTTTTGCCGGAAATCGAGATAAACGATTTTTTACCCTTAAAACCCCCACTTCCCGAAGTCAGATCGCCCGTAATTTATTTTTCCTTTCATTTTTATTATATTCTTCTCCTTTTCCAATGGGTTTCATCCTACTGTTGTTTTTTTTGGTTTAAAAAATTATCGACCCTGGTCTACTATCTTGTACTAAAAATACGAAAAATCACTGCAACACTACACAGTTTAACGGCGGCCATTGTTGTTTACAATTTTTGTGCTTTGGGTTTGTGCTTTGTTTATACAGATTAATAATCGTTTTAAACGTTGTTTCTCATAGTAAGCCTTAAAAGAGTCCTTAAAGTGCTAAGAACAACCATTTTACTCCTCAATTGTAAAAAATAAACTTTATTTTATCAGGGCTGTCATAAAACTGTCAAATGTCAATTTTAAGGTAAATTACAACCCACAAATTAACCTTCAAATTGTCATTTGACAGCCCTGATAGCTTATGGTATATTTATTATAAAAGAGCAAAATGGTTGTCCTTAGCAGTTAAGTGCCTCTGTAAGAAACACAACGTTTAAAACAATTATTAAACAGCACAAACCCAAAGCACAAGAATTGTAAACAACAAAAATGGCCGCCGTTAAACTCTGTGCAGTGTTGCAGTGATTTTTAGTATTTTTAGCATGAGATAAAACAGACCTTGTTCGCGGTGCTGTTCTGAGAGGTGATTTTTGGACTTTCTGCAAAACCTAATTTTTTTTTATATTCTTGTTAATTAGGTCATAACTAAAATTTTAAGAGCAAAATAAAAAAAATTTGACGGTTAATTTTGTTTTAATTGGATGTTTATTAAAAATATGTATGCACACTTTCAATTCTCCAATTAAAACTTGCGATTTTATTTAAATATTATTATAACTTTTTAAATCAGATTAAAGATTAGTTAATTTCCTAAAAAAAGGTCTATACATTTTTTATATCTTTTACTGTTTTGTTTTAATACACGTTTATTAAACAATAATTCTAAGGGCGCCACATTTTATTTAGGGCAGATTTATTCATTTTTTATTTATTTGACAAATAATTTCTTTGGATACTAGATATTGCCAAGACATGAAAGTTATCGGCCCGATAAACTTTACTAAAGATGAATAAACCGGTCCTTAGTTAAATTTCATGACTTTCTTCGTAACTGTTACTACAATTTTTCATTTTTGTTTATAAAAAACACTTTAAAAAACTAAACAAAAATTATAGAATACGTATACTGAAAATAACAATTCAAACGTCAAATAAATTTTTAATAGATCTAAGTTTCATGGCAACCTTTAAGGATATATTAATTAAGGGAACATAAATGTATACGTCAAAGGTTAGATTAAAAGTTTGAACGTTTATTGCAACAAAAAAGTAAAATATATAAAAAAAAATTGTAAAAACTTTTTTTTTAGTTATGCAAATATTAAATATTTAAATTAAATCGCTAGTTTTAATTGGATAATTGAAAGAGTGCATAATATTTTTAATAAACAGCCAATTAAAACAATTCAAACCGTCAAATTTTTTTTATTTTGCTCTTAAAATTTTAGTTATGACCTAATTAACAAGAATATAAAAAAAAATTAGGTTTCACAGAAAGTCCAAAAATCACCTCAGAACAGCACCGTGAGTTGTGTGGATTGTGTATCACCCCAAGATTTTTTTAAACATTAAAATTAAATCTCCCAAAATACCCAAATTTCGACTCACCTCTGTGGCAGTTGTGCTGCGCAGAACTCTGTCAGTATTGTCATTTTTCTGCGCAGCTGGTTTGACTTTCTGCTCCGAGGCCTCTCTTTCCGCCATAATTATTTTCCTGTGTTCTTTTACTTCGTCTGTAGCTTTTTCCAACGTCTAAAAAATGTATAAATGACGAAAGGAAACGGTGCAGTATATGTCAAATATTTTTCTTTCTGTAAATTTTCGAGGAGAATTATATTCCCCACCATTTATGTTTTAAATTTTTTTTGTAAAATCAATCTTACCTTTGAAATGAAGTTTATTCAAAAATAAAGTAAATTTCAAATATCTTGCTGTCTGTCAATTTTCTGACAAAAATGATAATAACACTTTCAGTGTAAAATTAAATTCCCCACCTTTTTTGTTTTAGAGTTTTTTCTGTAAAACCAATCATATTTTCAAAATATAGTTATTCAAAACTTAAGTAAATGTCAAATATTTCGCTTTCCGTCAATTTTTCGACAAAAAGTATAATAACACTTTTTGTGGCGAATTAAATTTCCCACTTTTTTATTTTAAACTTTTTTTGTAAAATCAATCTTACCTTTGAAATGAAGTTGTTCAAATTAAAGTAAATGTCAAATATCTTGCTGTCTGTCAATTTTTTGACAAAAAGTATAATAACACTTTTAGTGTAAAATTAAATTCCCCACCTTTTTTATTTTAGAGTTTTTTTCTGTAAAATCAATCATATTTTCAAAATAAAGATATTCAAAACTAAAGTAAATGTCAAATATTTCGCTTTCCGTTAATTTTTCATTAAAAAGTATAATAACACTTTTTGTGGCGAATTAAATTTACCACTTTTTTTATTTTAAACCTTTTTTGGTAAAATCAATCTTACCTTTGAATTAAAGTTATTCAAATTAAAGTAAATGTCAAATATCTTGCTGTCTGTCAATTTTTTGACAAAAATTATAATAACACTTTTTCTGGCGAATTAAATTTCCTATTTTTTTATTTTAAACTTTTTTTTGTAAAATCAATCTTACCTTTGAAATAAAGTTATTCAAATTAAAGTAAATGTCAAATATCTTGCTGTCTGTCAATTTTTTGACAAAAATTATAATAACACTTTTAGTATAAAATTAAATTCCCCACCTTTTTTATTTCAGGGTTTTTCTGTAAAATCAATCATATTTTCAAAATAAAGTTATTCAAAACTAAAGTAAACGTCAAATATTTCGCTTTCTGTCAATTTTCCGACAAAAAGTATAATAACACTTTTTCTGGCGAATTAAATTTCCCAATTTTTTTTAACTTTTTTTTTGTAAAATAAATATTACCTTTGAAAAAAGTTATTCAAATTAAAGTAAATGTCAAATATCTTGATGTCTGTCAATTTTTAGACAAGAATTATAATAACACCTTTAGTGTAAAATTTTATTTTAGAGTTTTTTCTGTAAAATCAATCATATTTTCAAAATAAAGTTATTCAAAACTAAAGTAAACGTCAAATATTTCGCTTTCTGTCAATTTTCCGACAAAAAGTATAATAATACTTTTTCCCACTTTTTTATTTTAAACTTTTTTTTGGTAAAATTAATATAACCTTTGAAGTGAAGTTATTCAAATTAAAGTAAATGTCAAATATCTTGCTGTCTGTCAATTTTTTGACAAAAAATATAATAACACTTTAAGTGTAAGATTAAATTCCCTACCTTTTTTATTTTAGAGTTTTTTCTGTAAAATCAATCATATTTTCAAAATAAAGATATTCAAAACTAAAGTAAATGTCAAATATTTCGCTTTCTGTCAATTTTCCGTCAAAAAGAATAATAACACTTTTTGTGGAGAATTAAACTACCCACCTTTTTTATTTAGAACTCTTTTTTGTAAAATCAATCTTACCTTTGATATGAAGTTATTCAAATTAAAGTAAATGTCAAAATCTTGCTGTCTGTCAATTTTTGGACAAGAATTATAATAACACTTTTTGTTAGGAATTACATTCCCCCCTTTTTTATTTTAGAGTTTTTTCTGTAAAATCAATCATATCTTCAAAATAAAGATATTCAAAACTAAAGTAAATGTCAAATATCTGGCTTTTTGTCAATTTTTCGACAAAAAGTGTAATAACACTTTTTGTAGAGAATTAAATTCCTCACCTTTTTTATTAAAAACTTTTCTGTGTAAAATCAATATCTTACCTTTGAAATGAAGTTATCCAAAACTAAAGTGGCATTAATATTAGTAATAGGGGCTCTGCATATGGGGCAAATCTTCTTATTTTTCTTCCACATTTCGATGCACTGTTTGCAGAAACTGTGCGAACAATTTAAAGTTACCGCCTTGATAAAAAGTTCAGAGCAAATGCTACAAGTGAGTTCGTCTTCGATTACATTCATGTGGCTATTATTTGCACTAGCTCCCTCGGAATTTTTGATTTCATCCATAGGCACTTGGTCTGCTTTGGCATCCTTAAAATTAAAAAAAAAAAGTTATTTATTTTTTATAATTTTCTTTACAAACCTTATTTTCACTAGTTGTGGTTTCATCAGTCGATTTTAGTTTTTTTGTGGTGGGATTTTGAGATTCTATAGTGTGTTTTTTTTGCAATTCTTGGGTTTCCACCTTGAATCATAAACATACAAATTTAGACTATAAAATATTGCTTTACAAGATTTTTTTGTAGTTAAACATCTTTAAGAGATTCAAATCCCCCAAATTTTTTATCTTTGTTAATATGTAAAATATCTAGCTTTGACAAAAACTATTTTAACCTTTTATATGGAGAATTAAATTCCCCACATTTTTTATTAACAACTTTTTCTGGTAGAATAAATAATAATAAAGATATAGAAAAACTTACCCTTTCGGCAATATAACACATTTGCTCATCTGTTATATCTACAATTTCTATAATGTTAGGCAAAAATCTGTAAATAAACGGTTCTGAGGTTAGGGTTATTACATCACCCTCTTTTAAATTTGCTTCGGTGTAACGTAAAAGTTCATCATTTAGTCTGGTACCATTTGTACTCTAAAAATACTTTATAATGCAAAAACATATTTATAAAATGATTAAATTATGCCTACACAATCTGTAATGGACCATCCTAACTCTTTACGTGTAAAAACGCAGTGTTTTCGTGATACTAATTTGCTAGAAATAACATAGTTATTGTTTAGGCTCCTACCAATTGAAAACTGAAAAAAAAACAAATATGGTTCTTATTATGCAAACTCTTATTAATATAATTTAAACAAATATATATGTACAATAAATATATCAAAACATAATAAAAATTTAAATATTTAATCAATTTATCTACAAAAACAAGAAAGAATGTCAAAGTTTATAAACATTCCCAAAAATGCACTTAAAACACCTAAATAACAACTAAAACTACATTACATCATTAAAAACACATTAATATACGAAAATAAAACTAAAAGAACCAATTTTAAAAACAATAACATATTTTTTTGCCACATAATAAAACCAATAACACCTAACCATAAAATACTCACTGGGGTGTTGTTGATCTCGATTTTGCTGTTATCATCTATTTTAAGTAGTTGCGGCGATGTTCTAACATCCATTTTGAAGTCGAAACATCAATTTTTCGCTCTCAAATCGCAAAATTTCGGAATTATAGCAAATCCAAGTAATTTGTAACTCTTTGACAGTTTAGATTCGTTAACAGTGTGACCACCATACGAACGTCATAATATTTTGAAATTGCGTATGTTTACTTTGCGATTTTGGCGGTTTTCAAGAGTTTAATTTAAGTGTAAACGTTAAATTAAATGTATTAAATTTAGTTTGACAATTGAGAAAGTGTCACTCGCTTAATTTGGCGTTAATTTGACAATTTTGGCGGTTTTTGCGGTGCTGTTGGCAGCACTTGCCGCATGATATACCTAGGATGATATATACGAACTTCCAAGAAAATGTTTTGATAAGTTAAAATTCATAGATAACTAATTATCGCGAATTATTTAAAAATCGGTAGTTCTACCAAAAATATAAGCGCCACATTATGACAAGGTGGTATCTGTGTTTTTACCTAAAAACTTTTTAATCTTTAATTCAAAAAGACGTCGCAGTGAATTCTAGGGGAAAATCGAGCTTCATCATTTAGAGCAGGCTGATTTAGAGGAAGCGCTCTGACAATGTGGCAACACTGATGATATTTCTAGGGATATTTAGTAAATTTTCTGTCAATACACTTTGTGGTCAAATCCTTTATAATCTGTGGGTCAAATATAAAAATTTTGTTCTGTGAATACAAATGTTTATACACGTATTTGTTAGAATATTGCATTCAGAATAGTATTCATATCAAGCATACCAACACTGTAAATATACGTATAATACGTTGTTTTAAGCTTATCCTTTTTCTATGGTTTTAAGGTTTATAAAGGTTTTCTATTGTTTTTTACAGTTTGCCAAAGTATTTAGGAGTAAACACGAATGTTCTGTAATCATTAAATGTAAGTTATAGAATTTTCATACACAATGGAGCATATAGTCGTTAAAATAGAACCTGAAGAACTAGTTGACGATATTTTGATGAAGTACGATGTACCAAGTACATCTGCTGACCAAGAAATGCCTTCATCATCTGGGATAGCAGTAGAACATGAAATAAAAGTAGAATCAGATGATGATGAAGTGTTGCTCAACAAAGGGTAAGCATTGCTGCTGTTTATTGCATTATCACCATGGCAACAGTTGTTTGACAGTGGACATGCAACAACAGTTTTAACCTAGAATTCCTACATGTCCTAGGACAGCTGTCTCAAAATTTCATACATGATGCATCAATTTTTAATCCATCAATATAACGCCCAATATTCAAAAACATTGAATTTTTTTGTAGTTTTTTTTATTGCAATAAAAGACAAAAACTATGATTATTATTTTTTAAATAGGGTGAATCGCCCAGTTGTCGGCCACTTAACTGAATTTTCACATTAAATTGACGTTTAAAAAGAACTGGTTGCTTTAATTACATTTTGGATTATTTCATCTTATAGCCTTTAGTAAACTAAATTAAAATATTTCATTCAAAAATGTGAAATGTATCAATTTTTTTATTTTGGTAAATAAAATGTAAAGAATGGACCGTTTACTAGTTCTCGGCCACTTGATTATTTTCTCGGTCATCAATACGCCAGTTCTTGGACGGGTGGCCGAAAAAAACCATTTTTCGACCCTGCTATTGAAAAATTCAAACAAAAGTAGAAATAATTAAAAATTATAGGAAAATAATAACTTTATATTATTAAAAATGGTCTACAAAAAAAATTAACAATACAAAAATAAACCAAGATAGGTACCTACTTGAAACAAATACAAATAAAAAACTTTAAAACTTAACAAATATGGCAGGTTCATAGGTATTCTTAAAAGCAATACTTAGTAGGTAAATGTTTTTAATGCTTAAAATTTATTTGCAGGAACAACATATGAAATCTTTAGTTGAAGCTTCATTATAGGGTAAATGAGATAGCTCAGTACAAGCTAAATGAAACCACTTGGGGCATTTATCACAACCCAAGTTTTTCAAGGAATCATCTTCTGTATCGCTTATTAATTCATCTTCGCAAAGAGAACACATCAGTTTGGATTTCTTAGCTTCATTTTTTTTTTACTTAATTTTTTTTGCATTTTTTGTGCTCTGTTTCTCCAGTCTTTCATCATTTTTCTTCTGCTGAGCTTCTAGTTTGTTTATTTTTTCTTGTTCTTGCTTTATGATATGTTTTCTCCAAGCTTGGGATGAGATAGCACTTGGCAGTTTTTCTTTCTTTCCATTTTCCGAGGTTCCGGAAATCTGAGATGACGAGAAAATGGGCTTAACACTTCTTCCACCTCCACAGTTTTTATAGGGGTCTTTTCTTTAGGCCATTCAGGTGTTAAGTCATTACTTTCAGCTTGTAGCATTTTTAATGGCGATTTTTCTTTGTTTTTAATTTCTTCCGCCAATTCCATTTTACTACTTTCTTTCGAGCTTTCTTCTTTTTCTTTCTTCTTAAAAATTGTCCCTTCTTTTTTACTATCTTGTCCCTCTTTTTCTGTTGCTTGCTCCAAGTTATCACTTATTGCTTTAATTTTCTTCGTAGTGTCTGGATCAATATTTTCTTTTTCTTCTTTAGATTTCTCTTCGGTATTGTTTGTGTCTTTCTTAACCTTCTGTTCAGTATTAATGTTTTCTTTGTTAGTTTTCATTTAATTTTTGGTCTTTCTTAATGCTGGCCATCTGAAAAAAAACAGTTGGGTATACGTAAACAGTTTTTAGGATTCTTAAATTAGTTTTTTAAAAACATGTAGATAGGTACCTACAAGACAATAATAGTAAAAAAGAAAATTAAACCTATAGGAGTTAAGGTACTGGCCGAGAAACGGCCAAAATACCTTTTCTCGGCCGCTCTTTTAAGCCTTTTTACATGGTGCGTTTTTGTAGATAGGCCGGCCGAAAACTGGCTATTTTATAGTAGTAACTGTTTTAAATACACCAAAAAACGAGATACCCCCAATTGCGAAACAGTATATTAGAAAAAGAAGGAGAATACACTACTTTTAAGACCGGTTCTCGGCCACCCCGGGCGAGAAAGGGATTGGACGTTTTAATTAATCCAGTTTACCGGCCACCCAAAAAAACACTTAAAATCCATAATTTGTCATTTTTTTCAAATATAATAAAAATAGTTGAACATATTATTTATCTAAAACCATAAAAACTTACCTTTAAAACCAGTATTTCACAAAATATTCACTATTTCACTATGGGATGCACACTACGAAAATTTTAGTAAACAGCCATGCACAAGCCTTCCATGAGCAACAACTTTTAACGGACGTTTCTTCTTTTTACCAAAGCTTGAAAAATGGCGCTTAGTTCAAAGTGGTGGGGATAAGAAGTCTGAAGTTAGGAGTATTTAAAAACCGCGGGAGCCGTCAGAAGCTTAAATAATTTATTTACTATATTCTCTAAAAATGGCCGAGAACTAGTGATGGCCGGCTAACTGGGCGATTCACCCTACATTATTATTTCTAAAATATAATTAAAAAAAAGAACATAAATGCAAAATTTTGGTTTTAACGTCACTTTTTTCCAATTTTAACTTGAAGCTTTATTCAGTCTGTGCATTAAGTAACTTAATACACTATTGCAAACATTAGTAAGTGCATTATAGTATATTATGTATCAAGTTTTATAAACGCCATTTTAGTTACGAGTTTAATTAAGCACGAGCGAAGCTTGCGAGCGAGTGTTTAATAAAAACGAGTGTCTAGAGAAGTTTATAAACGAGTTGCATACTATACTTTATCTACGACGAACACAAAACAGAATTTAAAGCCAATTTTATTTGTTAAAATTTTGACATCTGTCAACTGTCACCCGAATTTAACCTCACTTTTTCCCAATTTATAATAAAGCTAACTTCAGCCCGTGGCGTAAAATGTCGAAAAGCCACTGTTGTTAACTTCAGCCCGTCAATAAAACGCCATAAAGTCACAGCTCGTCAATGTAGGAGTAGATAAAAATCATTATGGTCTAGTTATAAGTTGAAGGCGTTAGTAATTGGCCAATTTCATTATTCATTTTGATTTTGAGCAATCACAAAATTTGACATGTGTCGGACGGTTTTAACCTTACTTGTGAAATTGGCTTCAATTATATTAGCAAATATTTTGGTTTTTTTTTGTTTATTTTTGTGGTGTCTTGTTCTTTAATTAATCTAGTCTGTAATATTTAATTATTTTTTTTTATGTAAATAAAGCAATATATTACATACATGTATCATTAAATAAATGCCATTTTAGCCAAGGTTCAATGATGTACTATGTGAGATCTAAAACCAATGATAGTGATGAAGAAAGTGAAGATTTTGATCATAAAATTGAAGATTCCTTATACAATATTAAGGAAGAAGAAAGGTACTGTGACGTTTCTGAAGAAGATGATAAAAATTTGTCAAACAATGAAGAAAAATATGAAGATGAAGCCATGATTGAGTCCAAAATCGAGGTGGAATATCATGGGTTAGAATGTTATGAATCAGGGTAAGTACTTGTTATTGAAATTGGGAATGTGTTATGGCTCAAAATCCCTAATTTTTTTTACAATTTTGTGATATTGATTTTTTTAAATTTGTCAATATTGTGATTTCAGAAATTTAATTGGTTCTCAAAATATTTGAAAAAGTGCAAAAAATCTTTTAAACCCAAAAATCGTTAACTTCGTTATTTCTGTGAATTTAAAAAAAAGTTTGTTTTACATATAAACAGAGTTGCCAACGTTTTTTTCAAGATATCCCTAGTGTTATGGTAATTTCTTCCTAGTTTATCCGATTTTTCCCTGGGATTTTTTTAATTGGAGAATTTTTTAGAAATTAAGTGCGATTTTGACAAGATCATGTGAGTCATTTAAATAAAAGTCGTGATTGGCTTGGAACTTCAAATAGTTTGTGAAAATATCAAACAATATCAATAGACCTACCAATATAAATTATGTTTATTGTTTAGTTTTTAATAAGTTTCTTGTCAAGAAATTTTAATACCCTTTTAAGAAACTAAGAAGAAATTTCCTAAGGTTAAAAAAAATCTTTTAGTATCTATAGGTGCTGAAAATTCCCTAGACTAGTGAAATTTTCCTAGGGTTGGCAACACTGGTAAACACACATTAATTCATACAATTTCTTTGTGTTACCATCACAATCTTTTGTTTTTATAATGGG